TACCAAAAGAAAAGAATGTCCACACCTTTATCTCAGCGGTTCTGTCAGGCATCTATGGCCGCTCCGATCCTTTCACCACGTGGTCTCACCCAAGATGGTGGCTCCTGGAGCAGCCGAGCTTCCTGGACTGGAAAGCAATAGATTTCTTGCTTCTGCCACAAATTCCCCCAGCTGTGAGCCTTCCAACCTTCTAAGTATTCCATTATATGTGGCTCAGAGTTCTGGGACCATCCCCTGAACCTGCATAGTCGGGTATTCTGTGTTGTTGGCGGAGCTCTCTTGTTATACGTCCACCCGATCCGCCATCTTGTTTGTTCTCCAGAATCCCTTGTTTTGTCTGTGTGCTATCTTCCAACAACTTTATCATTTTAGTTTTAACATTTGTGTCTTTGATCCATTTTGAACTAATTCGTTTTGTTTATGGACCTGGTTTTATTTTTCTACAAATGAATATCCAGTTTTGCCAGCACCATTTGTTAAAGAGACTGTTTCTTCCTCATTGAATGTAGATAAATTTTCTTCTGGGTTCTAAATTCTATGCATTTTGCATTTTTAAAAAGCTAATTCCCGCGCAGGCTGAGATTCAAAAAGTACTGATTTAAGTGGTTTAGAATATTTCGAGTTAGGAAGATTACCAGGAAAATTAGATGGCTTTAGCCACAGTAAAGGTACTGTGGAAGGAGAAAGGGCCAGGCCCTCTTCTACCCTGTCCTTCTGAGCCCTTCAGCATAACCTTAGGAGATGCCCCTGCCTTCCTCATTCTGCTTAGTGCTGATAGGGGTGAGGCATTGGGAGGGGAGGGGCAAAGATGGGCTTACAGCTGAAGTGTGCTGAGAAGAAAAGATCTGCTTCTAAGAGGGAGAAGGAAAGGGAAACATTACTCCCACAGGGTGCATCTGTCCAGGTGAAATCAGGTTAAAATGAATAGCCACTAAGGGGAAGAGACAACCTGTCTAGGGGGAAAGGTGGAGGATTAGCAGGAAGCTATTTGCCCTGCTTCAGGAATCTCTTTTTTAATTCCTCCTTATTCCAAAGGGATATTTGAGGCAGATTATAAGATTGCATACCAAAAAAAAAAAAAAATGCATATAATGCTATGAGATATAAGGTATATGGAATCAACACAGAAGGAAAATCAAAATAGAATAATAGTGAGTAGAGGAACAATTAGTACCCAAAAATGTTTGATGAAAGACCCCTATAATGGCTCCTAAAAGTAGAACATGGAATTTGACTTCAGCTTCCAAGCAGCCAAATGAGAAAGGGAAACTGTTGCAAGATTTATTGTCCATACTAATTCCTCTGTGAATTATGTTTTGAGTCTGAAGGCTAAAAGAAATTTCTCCTATGGACCCTAAGGGCCACTGCCCTCAAGCACGTCCCAGTGACCAAAGAATGCATTAATAGCTTCATGGCAAGATTCCTCCCTGTAAGTCCATCCATTATAAATGCTGGCAGAGTTTTAGAGTGATTGTTACAGGCTGATTATTTATACTGCTGGCCTCCTAGGACCTCATGGGTAATCAGCCAGAGTTAAGATGGGGCTCTAAGGGGATGGGGCTTGAAAGCAGCGTCCCCCCTGTTCCAGAACACCCTGGAGAAGTGTGGCAAGTGTGCAGAGGTGGTCCGGGAGCACATCATCAGGGCTCTGGGTCAGGCCTTCCACCCCAGCTGCTTCACGTGTGTGACCTGTGCCCGGTGCATTGGGGATGAAAACTTTGCCTTGGACAGCCACAACGAGGTGTACTGCCTGGATGACTTCTACAGGTAGGAGAGTGAGCCACACACTGGATGGGGCAGAGGACAGACTGACTCAAAAGAACACAGGAGTGGCATCTGAGTGTGGAAGGGCTGAGTCAGAGCTTTCCTGCAATCTCTGGGTCTAGAGGAACTGGGCCTTCCCATTCCACATACATCACCTGCTTGTAGCTTCCATTTTCTGAGCACCTGCTCATTTCATCCTCAAAAGTATCCTGCCGGGGAGGCACGGTAAAAGTTCCCCTTCACCAAATGTGGAATGTTCTCATATTATCAACATTCGGTGCTAGTAGGCAGATTGTTGGAGCTGCGATTCAAGCCCCTGTCCACCTGACTGCTGGGCTTTGCTGTTAGTCCCCACCCCACCCCGTCTCCGAGCCTACAAGGCCACAGGGACACTGATATCCGTGAGACTCTGTCCTTGAGACTGACCCAGTGAGTCCTTGAGTTGCTCACCACCCAGGGAAAGACAGATGTGCCTACTAAAAAAGCAAAAAAAAAAAAAAAAGCAGTGATTTAGAATACAAGGCTGCAAATAAAACGGGTCTCAGCCCACAGAACACACAGGAGGTTTCTCGGCTTTCTCAGAGTCAAACGTCCCCCAATCACTTCCTTGCCTCGAGCTAATTATACCCTGGGAAGCCAGCTCTAATTACACAGGGCTCCCCCTCCACTCTTGCCGGGAAGAAATAGACATTTGTGGTTGTAAAGCCAGCCAGGTGCCGTCACATAGCAACGGGGCTAAATAGCTCTGGGAGGTGAACTGCAGCCAGCCTGGGAGTTCTGACAGCTAACTTCTGTGGTTGTCAGCACAAATGCTTCCTGAGCGTGGGTTCCTTTTCCCTCTAGGAAATATGCCCCTGTCTGCAGCATCTGTGAGAATCCCATCATCCCCCGAGACGATGGGAAGGATGCCTTCAAAATCGAGTGCATGGGAAGAAACTTCCACGAAAACTGCTACAGGTGTGAGGTGAGTGGAGCGATGGAGACTTAATAAGAAGTTGTTTTAATGGCCGGTATCTAGTTGCTGCATGAGCCTTCATGGTAGCCTGCTCAGTACCAAGCCTGGGGCTGGGTTATGGGACATGGGAACAAGTTGGGGTGGGGTCTGTGATTCCGAGTTGTTCACCACTTGTCTAGTAGCAGAGACAGATAGTATGGAAAGAATTGCAAGCATTGCTTATTAAAAGATCCCTGGATGGCACCAACTGTGCTCACCTATCAACCTAAAGGCTGACAGTTCAAACCTATCCCACAGTGCTATGGAACAAAGGCCTCTTTGTTCCATAAAATTACAGCCAAGAAAGTCCTGTGGAGCCCTTTTGTTCTGTAACACCTGGGTCACCATGAGTCAGAATCCATTCAATGGCAACAGGTTTGTGATATTGTAGGTTTAATACTGCACTGCTAACCACCAGGTCAGCAGTTCAAACCCACCAGCCGTTTCACGGAATGAAGAGGAGACTTTCTGCTCTTGTAAAAATTTACAGCCTCAGAAACCTCATACAAGGACTGGCTATGGGTTGGAACCAACTCGATGGCAGTGAGGTTTTTTTGTTTGTGATTCAGCACTTGCTGGTTGTTAATGATAGAAACCACACTCGAACTGCTTTCACAAGGAAGGCTATCTGTTGGCTCATGGGAAGGGTGGCTGGGTGATTTAGGCCTCTCAGTGTCCTGGTTCCACTGATTTTGTGTGTTACCTAAAGGCTGGCACGCTCTGGAGGAAGGGATGTGTGTTGCACAACCACAGATGGCCTAGGTATACATCCTCCCAACTCAGAAACCCCAGGGAAATCATGCAATCCCAGGAAAAACTCTGATTGGCCTAGCTTAGGTCACCTGCCCATTCTGAGCCAATCACTGTGGCCAAGGACTGGGGAAGCGGATTAACCACCAGGCAGGAAAGGAAAAGGGATGTTGGGGAGACACACAACACAGATGGCCTTTCAGAGGGTTAGGGGGTGGGACATGTATAAGATGAGGTTTGGGACAAAGAAGACGATGTTGGAATCTACCTGGGCTGGAGGAACCAAAGGCATTTTCATAGAAGAGGTGAAACATGACTTGGGTTTTGAAAGAAGAGCAGGAGTTTGCCAGATAGAGAGGGAAGTCTAGAAAAAGAGGAGAGCCTGTAGAAAAGCCACTGTGGTTCCAGCAAGCCTGCAAAGTCAGGATGTGGAAGTGTCTGGGTGCATCTAGAGTGTAGCATGCTGAAGATTGGGTTAGCAGTAAGGCCAGAGAGCATGGAAGTCCCCTGTATAGCTGGCGAAGGAGTCTGGACTTCAGGCTGCAGGGTGAAGGCAGGTTAGAAACTGGCGCAGTAGATCCAGCAAGAAATACCCAGGGAGAAAGAAAGATCTAAAAAGATCTACTTCCAAAACATTGGCCACTGAAAACCCAGTGGATACATTGTGGGGATTGCAGTCCATAACATGAAGCAAAATGCGTATGCATTGTTGAATGGAAAACGGATTTGCAATGTAACCCTTCATCCCATTCACAATAAAAAGTTTCCAAAAAAATAAATACCCAGGGAGCTGCCCAGAAGAACCTGTGCTCGGGAGGGTGCCAGAGTTGCTTTACAGCTCTCCTGTCACCATTTTGAAATTCTTCATTGTGGAACAAGGGCCCCACATTTCATTCTGCCGTGGACCCCACAAACTATGACATGGGTCCTGTATATAAGCTCCAAGAATCCTCTCCTTCCACTGTCACCCACATGTCACTGACATGTCTGCTTTCTCTGATGAAGGTGACAAAAGTGGCAGCTTCTGTGGGTATCACCTAAGAAGGGAGTTCCTAGGAAATCGAATCATTGTAAACATTCGTTGACGCCATTTGACATTTACTTAAACAGGCGTGCGGGACCAAGAGGCTATGTCCACTCTGGGTGGTAAGGGAGTTTCACAGAGAAGTTGACAAATGGCTTCATCACTGTGTTGCCTTTGTTAGTTACAGTTTAAAGTCTGGCTGATAATACATGTTGAAAGAACAGTGACAAAATTCAAATGCTTTTATCACACCCATAAGCCTAATAAAAAGGTCCAGGGGTTCTTAACATTTCTCAGAGCCAGGCTAGTGAGCAAATAAACCCTCCCTGATAAAAGTTGATCAAGGCCTACTGTGAAAGTTTTACCAGTGAGTCAGAATTCGGACCCTGGCAGTCACATTTCCAAAGGAAAGACTCTTGAACCATACCAACCCTGGAGTGGATTTGGGGTGCTGTCTCTCCAAGAAGGGAAGTAGGTTTCCTCATTCCTGGTTTTCTTTATGGACCACCTTATTTACTACCATTGCTAGGAGGACCATATACATTTTACACAAATGTGGTTTGTTTGCTTTCTTTTGTGTAAATAAATTGCTTCCATAGCCATTGTCTTATTTAATGCTAATGACAGTCTTGAGAGGTGAAGTTTATTGTCTCCATTTAAATAAATAAGGAATCTGAAGGAGAAGTGTTTCCAACCCATGTTTGTCTAAGCTGGGTCTAGCCAGTTTTCTACCAACCGGCTGCTCGTTGGCAGACTTGGTCAATATGAAGTATTTTCTCTACTTGACTGTGATGTAGGAAAGGTCACTCTGTATGTATCCTTTTAGAACTTTAGATTGGCACTCGATACTCTCGGGATGTCAAACAAAATACAGTAAATAGTGTGTACAGGTGTTGTTATTGGGTGTCATTGAATCAGTTCTGACTCTATATACAACCGCACAAAGCACTGCCCGGTCCTGCGCTGTCCTCGCAATCATTCCTCTGTTTGTACCCATTATTGTCACTGTCTCATTCCATCTCATAAGAATCCCATGTCCACTTGAAAGACTCAAGACAGATACAGGGAAGAGAGCAACAAGAACGTTCTACCCAGCAGGCAGTAGAAGTGTACACTTTGTGGTGGGGGACCTGCTAGGTCAGAATGGCCACCAGCAACCCCTAAGTTGTCTCTATGGGAACAAGGCCTCCTGGTGGCTGGAAATACAAATGCAGGCTCCATAGGGTTCCAGCTGTGCCCTGAACTGTCCAGCGCTCTGGCCAGTAATTGTTCTCATGACCACTCCTGTGTATGCCCAGGTGAGGTGCTGGCCCAGGGCATAATGGTGAAGTGGACAAAAGTTGGACCCCAATCCCCAGTCATCCTGGTGCTGTGAATTCCTTTGGGATTTGAAAAGTCTGACAGATTAAAGTTTGTGCCTGTGTTGGAGCTGTGTGGGCAGTGGAGCCTGGAGACCGGGTCTAGTCCCAGCTGTGGAATAAGCTGTGTGGCCTAGAGCAAGACCCACCCTTCTCTGGACCTCTGTTTCCCTACCTTTGAAATGAAGGGACCCAGCTGAGTTCAGTTTTTCACTCAAAGCTACTTACCAAGTGTGCCACTTACATCTTAATGGGGCCTTGGGTGGTTCTCCAGGCCTGCCTAACCCAACATTCCCTGAGCATCATCTGTTTCCCTGCACAGATTTTTCCCTCTGTCACTTGTACCTCCATGATGCTCACAGCAAGCCCCAAGCCCCCTGGGTCTGTTTTGTCTTCCTTCTTGTTGACAGGTAAAACTGGAATGAGAGCTGATTTCTCACCTAGGGGGTACGTTTGTCCAGTCAGTTTATAGAACATTCTATACCATCGCTGTTGAGTCGGTTCTGATTCACAGGGAGAGTAGAACTGTGCTCCGTGGGGTTTTTATAGATCACCAGCCCTTTCTTCCACAGCACCACCAACTAGATAGGTTCAAACAGTCAACTTTTAGGTTAGTAGTTGTTGTAAAGTGCCATTGAGTCGGTTCCTACCCATAGCAACCCTGTATCGGGTTTCCAAAGAGTGACTGATGAGCTTGAACCACCGACCTTGCGGTTCACACAGACGTTGCAGTCCAGCGCACTAACCCACAGTGCCCTACCAGGATTCCTTTAGGTTAGTAGTCAAGCGCAAACCATGTGTACCACCCAGGGACCTTAGGATGTACTTAGAGAGCTGGAGTCTGCAGCTTCGAGCTGGTGTGCCCGGACCTGGGCTACATCCACACATGTCTTTCTTTCCACAGGACTGCAGGATCCTTCTGTCTGTGGAGCCCACCGACCAAGGTTGCTACCCCCTGAATGACCGCCTCTTCTGCAAACCATGCCATGTGAAGCGGAGTGCTGCAGGATGCTGCTGAGAGCACCCGCTGGAGGGTGGGCAGCAGGGGCCCTCCCCTGACTTTGTTTCCCTTCCCAACTTGCTCTTGTACACTTTCCTTTCAAGCTTTAACAGGGACCAGCCTGCAACTCTGCCCATTGTGGCTGGGCCTCCTCCCAGCACAGGGGAGGGGTAGCCGATAGACAGCACCCGCAGCCTTCCAGCCCTTCCTCTGACCCTTCTGAGCACTGGGAAGATTCTGTGCCATGAGCATCATGCTTGTAGCCATTGCCATGGGGAGAGTTGGGTAGTATCCAGATGGTACCCAGTAGCCCTAACAGTGACCCTTGATCTTTCTGGTAGGGGATGCTGAGGAGCCCTTGGATGGCACAAGTGATTAAGTGTTGACTACTATACTAGTCCTGGTGTGGCACTATGGGTTAATGTACTGGACTGCAAAGGTGGTCTGAACCACAGGGCTGGTGGTTCAAGCTCCCCCATCGTTCCTCAGAAACCCTACACAGGGTCACTGTGGGTCAGAACTGACTCGATGGCACTTAACAACAACAGTTGTTAAGTGGTGCCATAGGATAAGCACTCGACTTCAAGGTCAGTTTGAACCACAAAGTCAGCGGTTCAAACTCACCAGCTGCTCTTTTGAAACCCTACACTGGGTCGCTATGAGTTAGAACCAACTCAGTACACTTAACAACAGCACTAGCCGACAAGTTGGCAGGTTGAACCTACCCAGGATGCTTTGGAAGGCAAGTCTGCTTATCAGCTTCTGGACAGTCACAGCCTTGGAAACTGCATAGAGCATACGTCTGTTCTGTGTATGTGCAGTCATCATGAATCACAACCTATGCAACAGCAACTCAGCCCACGGACAACAAGGATGCCAGAACCAGCTCTGGCCTGCAGATCTGAGCTGTTTGAGAGAAATCCTAAGGCCCCATATACAGTGCCTCTGTTGTTGCTATTTAACTTGAGGCTTAAACCATGGAAAACAGGATCCTTTGCCTTTGTAGTGGCACTGCTGGAGTGGAGGTGGGTCTGGCCCAGGAGCAGGCTGCACAAACACCCTCCACCCTTCCTCTGGGTGCCTCCTCCTGTGGGCTACAGTGATTCAGCAGAAGACCTGAGTGCCCGCTGTATGCTGGGGAACAGTGCAGACTCGGAGTGTTCTTTCTGCGCTCTTAGTTAGGACCGTGCACACTCCTCCCTCCCCCCGCCGCACACACTCAGAGAGAGCCCCCTAGTTGTACCTCTAAGTCCTACCTGGACCCTCCAGCCCAGGCTACCCTTAGACCTCTGCCTCCATAAGATCACATCTAGAAGATTCTTAACTCTTCTGTCATAACAAAAACCGCTGCTTTTGCTTCGTTGCTTCTCAGACTTAGGGGTGGGGCCTGAAGAATCCTCCCTGGGATCTTCATAATGGAGCCCCGAGATTGTAAGCATGCAGATTCCCAGTGCTGGGGAGAGTTTCATTGTAGATCCCCTGAGGGACTTCAGGCTAGAGCACATCTACTTGCCTTAAGCTTAGAGCAGTGAGTCTCAAACTGTAGAGATTCATATACCAGCTTGACAGTTGTCATAACCAAGGACCTCGTATTCTGTTACTGCTTTAAATCAACACCCTTCATTTTTACTCACTTCCAGCTTTAGCCTGGCGTTCAGCAATATACACACTGTTGATGTACTAGTTATATTTTTTTCTTATCACATTAAAATAAATACTAAACTTTTTAGAAGTGTTCCACCTACAATCTCACACATAGAAACTCGGGCCAAGGTGGTGGGTGGGTGGACCCTTTGGCAGTGGCATTGGGAGAATGCTTCGGCTGGGCATTGGCTCATGGTGATGTATGATAGAGTGCCTAGAATGTTCCTGATCTTCCCATGAAGGGCTCACCACTCAGTAGGGTAGGAAGCTCATCTTCCTCCACGTGTCTAGCAATTAAGAACTTGCGCCAGTCACGAGAGACATGTGTACTGTTGCTGGACATAGGTCACCAGCAATGGCATTGGCTGTGAGATATCCAAGGCAGAGCTCTGGGGCCACCAGATCCTTTAGTAGGGTCAACATTCACCCACTGTAAGCTCACATGCAGCTGGGCTTGCCTAGTGGGTGCAGCTCCAGAGATAAGGGTCCATGGTAGGAGAGAATGCTGGACTTGAGGGGGCAGAGACTCCAATCTCAGACTTGGCTCTAGTACTCAGAGGTAAGTTATTAACCCTCTAAGCCTTGATTTCCTCATATGTTAAAGGGAAAGGACACAACTCGAGTTGTGATAGAAAGGAAAACGCTGATGGAGGAAGCACTGGGCTCCCGAGGTTCCAGTCTAGCTCCTTAGTTCCCTGTTCCACTATGTGCTGACCACAATTCTCTAGCCAATCTCGTTTCATCAGCACCCCTCCTTGGTTCTGTGGATGTCTGTTCATCAGAGGCCTCCTCCGGGAACGTGTGTAGTCAGCAAAATTGGGTTTATTATGTTGTCTCAACAAAAGAGGCTGCCCAGAATGGGGAACTGTGAGGCATCTCAGAAAATGGGTCTTAGGAAGGACTCACTGTAGGATCTTGAGCTAGTACTTAAGGATTTAAGGATGTGGGGCTTTGCTCTTGATGTGTCTGCAAGAAGGCAGGGGTAATTCTGTGATTGGGAAACTTAACTGCATTTTATCTGGAATGCAGGGCCTACAACAGTGGTTCTGTCAGATAAGAGAGTCCCACCAGCTGCTTCTGATCACTTGCTATAAGTCAAAACCAACTCCACAGCACTTAACAAGAACATAATTTTTTAAATTGTTCTTTTTATTATGGTGCATCATACATAACTAAATCATAATGCCGACAGTCCCTACATGGACAATTCAAGGACTTTATTATGCTCTTTATGTTGTGGAACATTTGTAGTTAGGTGCCCCGTAGGGTTTCTGAGGAGAGACTGGTGACTTTGAACTGCTGAACTTGCAGTTCAAGCCGACCTTTAGGTCTAGTGCATTATCCTACAGCTCCATACCAGGACTCCAGGGAGACCCCTGTTGTTACGTGCCGTTAAGTCATTTCTGACTCATAGGGACCCTTACCCTTATCTTCGTCCTAATGGTTTTACCACCATTCATGTAAACTCTTTGTCCCCTAAGCCCAAACTCCCTTTTTCTGCTTCCTGCCACTCTTATTATTGTTACTGAATTGGTTCCGACTCACAGTGACCCTATATAGGATTTCCTAGGAAAGGGAATCCAGAAATCCATTGTATTCTAGATCAAGACACTCAGCTGTTCCAGGAGCCGCCATCTTGGGAGAGAACATCTTGATTGTATTAGGATTGATAGTATCAGGAGAGAACATATTGATTGTATCAGGATTGACATAGAAATTTAAAGTGACAGCATCAACATAAAACCAAATGGCTACCATTCGTCTGTCTGTTGTGCTGTGGTGGCTTGAGTTGCTGTGATTCTGAGGGCTATGCCACCAGTATTTTAAATAACT